TCCACACATGCCGGCTGGGGAAGTCTGGGAGTTGAAGTCCACACATGTCGGCTGGGGAAGTCTGGGAGTTGAAAATCCACACATGCCGGCTGGGGAAGTCTGGGAGTTGAAGTCCACCGATCTTAAACTGTCCAATGTTTGAGAAACGCTGATCTAAAATCAATTTATTTTACGTTTGTTTGGTAAACTGGGCACCACTTGCATTGAGTTGGGGAAGGCCTCAACTCCCTCCCCAGCCTTCTGTTTGTAGATCTAACTGTTCTTGGCTTCTTTTAAACTGAGATCGTTGCACATTTGGTTGTTTCTGGAGGGTTTGATCTATGTTGCTATGGGAGCTCTTTTTGAACTGTTTTTCTGTTGTAAGCCTCTGGGCAGACCGGGTGTTATATTTTGAAAGAACTCAACTCTCCCTAGAAATAATAGAGCACAGGCTGGCCACAGGTTGCAAAGAAAAAGAAAAAAAAGGAAAATAAATCAGTCATTCTCTAATGGAGTTAACAGATTTAAGAGCGGATTTTCAGTTTTTCCAGGGTGGGTGAAATCTTTCGGTTTGTTTGGTGCTGATTGTTTTTTTTCCCTCGACGTCTAAGGACATCCAAATGCAAAGGTTGGCTCTTGAATTTGCTTAAGAGGTGCTGTGGATTCCTGGCTGGGAAAGGCTTAGACTAGGTGACCTCTAAAGTTCCTTTCCACCATGCGCTCTTCTGAGGGAGCTGCTGGATTTTCACAGGAACCTGTATTGTGCACTCCTAGCGTCTGCTGAATGCAAGAAACTACTGCATACCATGGAAGCAACCTGGAATTAAGGCGAAACTTCCTGTCAGTGAAGACAATTAACCAGTGGAACAGCTTGCCACCAGAAGTTGTGGGTGTTCCATCACTGGAGGTTTTTAAGAAGAGACTGGACAGCCACTTGTCTGAAATGATATAGTGTCTCCTGCATGAGGAGGGGGCTGGACTAGAAGACCTCCAAGGTCCCTTCCAGCTTCTATTCTATTTCTTTTTTTATATATAAACTGTTTTTATTTTATTTTACAAACATCCCATCTTTTCTTTTCACAGTGGGTCATCTGGGTACAAATGTCTTCTGCACAATATTTGTGATTAGTACAATTTCCTTAGCATGACAACAACAATTACATTACATTCTTATTTTGAACTAATACACATAATATATCTTATCTTTGTAATCTTCTTCTTTTTAATTCCTTCCTCTCTATATTCATATATATGTGTGTGTGTGTGTGTGTGTGTGTGTGTATGTATATGTATATGTATGGCATTCAGCTTTGCTCGGGTATTTTCCCACGTCATTGTAGTTGTGCTTTTAAAGTTGTAGCAACGTTTCGGCAGAATCTCATCTGCCGTCATCAGGCTTCTGTATTGTGTTCGTCTGTGAGTCAGACTTTTACAGTTGTTTCAGTTTTAAATTTGGGGCTAGCCTACTGCTGTGCCAGAATGTTTTTTTCTTCATCCTGATTGGTTGGGAGTCTTGGTCTGTGTCTTGGAGTTTGCTGTGTTCTGCTTGATTGGTGTTTCTAATATCTTCTGTGTGTTTTGTGGCTTTTTTTGTGTCTTGATTGGCTAGCAACACTGTGTTCCTTTATTGGAGGCTTTTAGTGCAGCTTGGCTCCGAGTAAATGGACGGCTATCATTTGTTAGGAAGCTAGGTTTCATCTGGGTGCCTGGTTGGGGTGTGTTTGAGCTGGAGGTATCAGGGGGGATCTGTTTGTGCCCAGGTGTTTGCCTGGCTTGTGGTGTGGAGATTTATTTGTTTGTGAGTGCAGGTTTCCAAATGATTGACAGTCTGGTAGAATCATCTCTTCTATTCATGCTTTCAGGTCTTTTTTCAATTTCTATGGCTTCTCTGATAATTCTGTGGCTGGGGTTTTCTATAGTGTATGTATATATATATATATATATATATATATATATATATATATATATATATCTGACAAAACTGTGAAAGGCTGACTCACAGACGAACACAATACAGAAGCCTGATGATGGCAAATGAGATTCTGCTGAAATGTTGCTCCAACTTTAAAAGCACAACTATAATGACATGGGAAAATAGCCGAACAAAGCTGAATACCATACATATAAGTACCTGCGAAAACTTAAGAAATATATATATATATTTATTCTATGTTTATGTATTTAATTTCTAATTTCCATTTTTCTTTTCCAACCATTGATAAAGTAATTTCCATATCATATAATATTCAGATTGTTCTTTTCCTTTAATTGCCAGTGTTAATCTATTCATGTCTGCACATACTAATATTTTCCTAATACATTCTTCTATCGGAATCTTTTCACTTTTCCAGTTTTGAGCAAATACTATTCTAGCTGCAGTTAATACATGGATAATTAAGATTTTTCTTTACTATAACTTTCAGGTTTCATCCCTATTCTATTCTAGTCTATTCCTATTCTTTCCTTATTCTTATTCTATATTATTCTGTTCTTTTCTATTATTCTATTCGATTATTATTTTCTATATTATTCTATTCTATATTCTAAGTGTGTAAGACCACACTTGGAAGGTTGCATCCAATTTTGATTGCCAAGATATAAAAAAGATGTTGAGATTCTGGAAAGGGTGCAGAGCAGTAAAGATGATTAGGAGGCTGGAGGCTAAAACATATGAAGAACGGCTGCAGTAATTGGATAGGTCTCATTTAAGGAAAATAAAGACTAGAGATGACTCAATAGCAGTCTTCTAATATTTGAGGGGCTGCCCCAAAGAAGAGGGGGTCCACCTATTCTCCAAAGCACCTAAAGACAGGACAAGAAGCAACAGATGGAAACTTATCAAGGAGACACGCAACCTAGAACTAAGGAGAAAATTCCTGAGAGTTAGAACAGTTAATCAGTGGAACAGCTTGCCACTAGAAGTTGTAGGTGCTCCATCCCTGGAGGTTTTTAAGAAGAGATTGGACAGCCATTTGTCTGAAATGGGATTGGGTTTCCCGCTTGGGCAGGGGTTGGACTAGAAGACCTCCAAGGTCCCTTCCAACTCTGTGATTCTGCTATATTCTGATACCTCCATGGTCTAGTTCACACAACCTGCTAAGACCACCGCTTGGCTTTCTGGATTGAGCCCCAAACTAACCTATTTCAGCGTGAGTCTTATGTAGATCATGAGCTAGCTAGCTCTGAATGATCCTAGACTCTCCTTCCCGCTGCCCTTCACACAACCAGCTCCCTTCTTCTCCTTCTCCCACTTTGTTCCCCCAGGTACGTCCGTGATCCAAGTGACGGCCCACGATGCTGACGATCCGACCTATGGGAACAGCGCCAAGCTGGTCTATACGGTACTCGAGGGCTTGCCGTTCTTCTCCGTCGACCCCCAGACGGGTACACAATGGGGAGGGGGCGATAGCTTTGGGGAAGAATGTAGGGCTACAAATGTCACCCACCCGCATTGTAGGGGGAGAAAAAAGCAAGTGTTATGGCCTGCCTGCGGTTAGCAGAGCTGGCAGCAGAGTCAGACAGTGAGGAGGTTGGGGAGGAACGTGGGTCAGTCCTGGAGGCGGGGGAAGGCTTGGACAAGGGCTCTGCATCAGAGGCAGAGTGGGGTCGGGCAGGCTGGCAGTCATCAGCTGCCTTCGGAGTCGGATAGCAGTGAGGCTGGGGAGCAGCTGGAGCCGGTTTCCAGCCTGCGCATCCAGCTGCCAATAGAAAAGAACAATTACGAACTAAAGGTTGACGTGGGAGTAAGGCCACAGATATTAAAAGAGGAGCAAAAGGGGAGGGGGCTTTTGCAGGAAACAATTCGTTTGTTGCAGCAGTGGGAAGATCTATCTATGCGTCTCAGAGACTCTGTGCTGAGCCCTTCCTTGTCAGCACTGCGTTTGGAAATAGTTACTTGGTAGCTCTCCAGGCTAGATAAGGTGTGTGCTCCTCACTAGACCCTTGAAAGACTGTTTGCCAGGCCTTTGGCTGAAAGTGAAGGCAAGAAATTCACCTTTGTTTAAGAAAAGGGGTTTTGCCGGGACAGAAAAAACCTGCTTAGTGCTTTTTGGGAGGAGCCTAGGTCAGAATAGCAGGTGTCTAGGGGAACTAGTTGGTGGGGATGGCCGGGTGGGACAGCAGATGCTCTGAACTTTACAGATGTCAAGGAGCCGGCAACGTCTTTAAGAGATATCTCACTTGGCCCTGAAGGCGATGGTCTTACACTCTTTGCTTTCTTAGCTCTGGGTACACATCTCCTGATCTTTTGAGATCGGGGTTTAGTAGAGCTCCTATGGGTTGCTGGGTAGATGCCCCTGGTTGGAGAAGATGCCTTCTTCTCTTCTCTGTTGGAACTGTCGACGTAGTAGAAACAGAAGCTCCTATTTGGAACAGTCATCCTTCTGCAGCTAATTTTATTCAATCAGCTTTCCACCTGATCCATCCGTCCTTCCATCCTTCATCCTTCCATTCACCAATCCATCCACACCCAGCCATCTATCGATCCATCCTTCCATCCATCCATGTTTCCGATCATTCTATCCACTTCTGTCCATCTATCTTTCTATCCATTCTTTCCATCTATTTATCTATCTAGCCAGCCAGCCATCCTTCCCAATCCATCCTTCCACCCTTCCATTCATCCATCTTTCCATCTATCCATCCTTCCATCCTTCCATCCTTCCACCCTTCCATTCATCCATCTTTCCATCTATCCATTCTTCCCATTCTTCCTTCCCTCCATTCTTCCCATCCCTCCATTCATCCTTCCCATTCCTCCATTCTTCCCATCCATTCATCCTTCCTTCCTTCCTTCCTTCCTTCCTTCCTTCCTTCCTTCCTTCC